GTTAGTCTGCACACCTTCACACATGTGCAGATCCATGGGGTTACTATGGGGTTGGAATTTTTGGCCTGCCCCAAAGTCTGCCAGCCCTCAGCTCTGATGCCTGCATCCAGCATAGGCCTGGCCCGAGTTGGTGCGGATGTGCATGAGGCTTTGGGGTTGCACAGCCCTGGGATCCCATCCTGGCTCCATCTGTTCACCCAGCAAGACTGCAGTTAGGACAAGGCGAAGTCCCCTCAGCCAAGCACTTGCCATTCATTCTCCTGACAGGTGTCTCTGGGTCCCTCCTTTGGGCCAGACGCTGTGCTCTGCTCTTCTCTCCTCTCTCCTTCAGAACAGGTCTTTAATCTTTCCTGATGAGATTCCCTTACTTTCACATTCCTCACCTTGAGAAGTAATTTAACGTGGTACATTGAGTGTTAAAATTAGAATATTCAAATCTGTGGGTTCAAAAGAAGAAAACGCTCATTATCCATGGAAATGAAACATTGTGCAGTGCCCTGCTAATAAAGATAGAGACCTTCCCAGCCAATAAATTCTTAATAACAAGCAATTCCTCTTAAGAAAATTAAATTGCTGGGAAACTGAGAGTGGTTTGCCACTCTGTTTATATAGGTGATATCACCTGTGGGCTGGTGTGGGGAAGTGGAAATCTCTTAGTCTCTGCAGGCAACTTAACCACTGGGCTGAACCACTCTGCCTCCTTAGGAACCAGATGGCCAAGCACAGAAAAAACAGATATTTTCTAACCCCACTTTGGGCCTAAATGCCCTGAACTAGGTACTGGGCTATGAGAAGAACAAATGTTTCTGGGAGTTCACAGTCCATGAGGGAGACAAATCTTTGCCCTCCCCATCTTAAAGCTAAGAAAACAGGCCTGGAGACAGACCCCCATGAGGGCTTCAGCCCCCTTGCCACTGAGCCAGGCCGGTCCTGCTCAGCCTGGGTCTGGCACATGCCCAGAGCCTGAGGGGAAGCCAGGAGGGGCCCCAGCCTGCCCCCACCACACATGTGGAGCTTGGCTTGACCAGAGTTAGCCTCCTCTTGAGGCAAGAGGTGGCCCCTGCAAGCCCCCACGAGTGTCAGTCAGTCATGGCGTGAGTGACATGGCATCCAGCTGGGCACTTATCCTGACAAGGGTGTGGCCCTGGGGTGCTGGCTTGACCTCTGCAAGTGCCCCTGGGCACCCTCCTCAGTCGTGGTGGGGACTCTGCATGGACAGCCCCAATGTCCAGGTGCTGCCCAGGTGCCCATGGGACTGGACAGGTTGTGCCTGAGGTCCCAGAAAACCCAGGTGCCCACAGCACTTGCTGTTTTCCACCTGCACTGGCTCCTTGGGAGAGAAGGTAGGATTTGTTTCTTCGAAGAGATGATGAAGCGGGAGAGCACTGCCTCCCTGAAGGCGTATTGCTGCTGCTGGTCAGAACGGGCCTGGGCGCGCCATCATCTCGGGAGATGCAAACTGGTGGGGTGCGGCCCAGATGACTGGTGGACCTGCACCCTGAGAAGGGGGTACCTCTGTGGAGATGTGGCCTGGTGGGGAAGGAAATAGAGCCATTGATGAAATGTTAATGACAGGACAGGGCCTTGATTAGGGAAAGCTGCCTCCAAAGGTGGCCTTCGGAAGATGGAAGGGAAGGGCCAAGAGGCACCCAGGGCCCTCCTCTGTAGCTCTCCCGACTCCCACGGGCTTCTCTAGGTCCAAGTCCAAGTGGGCTCCTGCCTCTGCCACAATCCTGGCTCTCCCCACCCCCCAGCACCTCTGAGCTCCTTCCAGGGGGCTCGGCTCAGACAGCCCCTCCCTGGGGAATCTCACAGTTCTCTGCACCTGATTACGCTCCTCCCCACGTCCATAGCATCCTTTTCCTAATTACAGACTTTCTTCCCAGGCTGGCATTTTAAAAAATTTACCATCTTAACCATGTTTAAGTGTATAGTTCGGTAGTGTTAAATACTTTCACATTATTGTGAAACCATCACCACCATCTATTTCCAAAACTTTCTCACTGTCCCAACCTGAAACTTTGTCACCATTAGACACTGACTCCCTGGCCCCCTCCCCAGCCCCTGACCCCACCGTCCTGCTTTCTGTCCCCATAGAGTTGGCTCCTCTAGGGAGCTCAGGTGAGTAGAAGCACACGATGTTTGTCCCTTGGTGACTGGCTTATTTCTCTCAGCATAATGCCCTTAAGGATCATCCTGGTTGTAGCATGTGTCAGAATGTCCTTCCTTTTAAGGCTGAGTAATATTCCATTTTACAGATACTCCACATTTTGTTTATCCATTCATCTGTGGATAGACACTGGGTTGCTTCCACCTTTTGGCCATTGTGAATAGTGTTGCCGTGAACACGGGTGTGCAGATATCTGTAAGAGTCCCTGCTTTGAATTATTTTGGGTACAAACCCAGAGGTGGGGTTGCTGGAGGTTGGTGTTTTCTGACAAGGCTGTCTTTCTTGGGGCTCAGGTCACAGTCCTAGCTCAGTATTCTTAAAGGTATACTCAAAGCTACTTTTGGAAGTATTGAATGAATGAAGTGAATGAATGAATCTAACCCCCAAAATTGTCATAGGACCAAATAAAATAATTAAACATGCACTGCAAGAGTATTTATCAGTAACAATATCAGTCCAACAAACATAGACTGTGTGTGTAATGAGATGGAGAAAATTTTATTTGGAGAATTCTTCTAAGAGAGAGAATTATCTTTGGAAGAAACACTTTGATAAGTCGCTGGTAGGAGAGTAAGATCCCTAAAGGAGTTTGGAGGCAACAAAAATGATGGCCAAATTCCTGAGGCAACAGGAGAAGATTCTGTGTCTCCTAAGAGAGGGAGGAGGAACAGCAGAGAGTAGGAGAGTGGGGACAACACTCATGGTGGGTGACATTTACTTAATGCTTGCGTGGGCCAGGAGTATCACTACATCTACTCCTCGTGACGTGCCCACCCTACAGATGATGAAAATTATACCCAGGGATCTAGAGCAAATTAATCAAAGCTCATCGGAGGTGGTGCCAGGATTCAAAGCTGGGCTGAGTCTCTGGAACCTGCCCTTTCAGCGCTGAGCTCCACGGGAAGAAGAGAAGGCGTAGTGCAGATGGGGGGCAGGTGCTGCTTCCCCGGGGCCGGGCCGTCTCTGTAGGACCCCAGAGCTACAGTGACAGCTACCAAGCTTTTAAATCCTCAGCTGAGCAGTGATGAGGGAGGAAGGGATGGGCTGGATGGTCAGGCTGGTGTGGAATAAAGCTAACAGCACGGGGGAAGCAGGTGGCAAGAAAGCTCTGAGCAAAGAAGCCCTGAACACATGCGGAAACCATTTAGCCTCAGTCCAACAGCCTTGGAGCTGCATGCTGAGGGCTGAGGGGCTGTGGCAATGATGAGGCCTGGCCCTGCTCTACTTATCCAGGACGTCTGCTCATTCAGTGTTCATTTATTTATCAGACAATATTTATTGAGCAACTGTTGTAAACCAGACACTGTTTCAGGCCCCCAGGCGAGGTCCGTGCCCTCATTGAGCTCACAGGCTGGGGGTGAAGCCAAATGTGACAGCAGGAAGACAGTTACATCCAGTGCAGGTTGCAAGGGGATGTACACAAGCCTTCCAGATAGTCAGGGAAGACTTCCTGGAGGAGGCAAGGTCTAAGTCAAAATGTAAAGGATGAGTAAAGTCAGGAAAGAGTAGAGGGAGGACAGGGGAAAGCATGTCTAGGCAAAAATCACAGAGTGTGAGTGATATGGAGTCTGGAGAGAGCACATGGTATTTTGGAAGAATTGAAAGAAGTCTAAAATAGCTAAAATGGGACTCAGGGGTAGGCAGGGGTTCCCAAGCCTCAGCCTGTACTCTTGTGGGTGGCAGTCGCAGTGAGACTACCCTGGCTCTCTTGGGCAGCTCCCTTGTCCAGACAGCTTGCCAGGGATGCCTGGTCGGCCTGTTTGACGGGGAAGATGTGCTTGCTGTGCTTGGCGCCCCTGAGCCTGGCACCCCGTAGAGCCAGCAGGAGCTCCTTCCTGCTCCGCCTTCTCACTCCAGCTCCCAGCCTACACCTCTTCTACCTCGACCCTCAAGGGCTTTGTTCCCACTCTACAGTCCCTCGGCGTGGCACTTGTGATTTTCAGTTTCTGCGTTGCCATCTTCACCAGAACATGAGCCTCTCAGCTTGAAGGCTCTTGCCCCATCATTCCTGCATCCTCAGTGCCTCCCACCTGCCACCCCTGGCTTGTTGGATGCACTGGATGTGTTTGTGGAGTGGAATTAACTTTCTGGTGGAAGAAGGAAGTGCAGTGTTTTCCCTGCTTTCCCAATCACTAGAGAAAGTCAGAAACTAAAATTTTCCCTTTTGATTACAACTTAAATATGGTGGCTTTAAATTATGTAGGAAGGGGAAAGACGTTTTTAGATCTGTTTCTGAGATCTATTAGTTTAATAGTAGTGCGCAGGAGACTTCTATTTTCTGAGTTTCTAAACCTAATTTCTTCATCCATTGATACTTGCTGAGAGACTTTATGACTTCCTCGGTTATGGACTCGCTTAAGTGAGCCCATTTGTAATAATATGTGTAATTACATCAAGATGTATAACACGACAGACATGAAACCAGCATGAAACTGATATGTGTTGAGAAACGCATGGGTTGTGTTGAACAGTGAACCACAGTTTGCAAGTTTTATTAAGGAAAAATAACCTTTCATTTTTCTTTATTTCCCCCAGCAAGAATAGTTGTTGGATTAAAATTATCCCAGTGGAGTTCCCTTTCTTACATAATAGTCACTTAATTTAACAGATTTCAGGGTGAGGGAAGAGGCCCTTGGTATGTTTATGTGCCCCTGATTTGCACACACTTATGGTGATGTCTTAGTGGTTGCTTAGAACATCACTGGGGAAGAGGGGAGACATATCTGCTGTATGAGTTTCCCCATCTGGAGGTCTCTGTCTAGAGACTTCTAGAACTTCCCCTCTTGTCTTGGGCTCAGCAGGAGCTGAGTTTTCCTTGACCGAATCTCACCCCTCTCTGAAACGCAGCGGTGAGGCGAGTGTGGAAGGACTCCTGAACCAGCTCGTCCTGGAGCACCTGCAGCTGGCTCCTCTACAGTGGGGTGAGTAGCCACCTGCCACCTGTCCATTCTGGGTGAATGTGCTTCTTTTCTCACAATGTGAAAGCAAGTTCTTGAGGAGTATGGAGTCAGACACCGCAGATGTTGGTAGGTGCTGAAGGTCATCACAGGACACTTTGGGGAAAGGGGAGCTCAGCATGCCACACTGGCGCCTTCGCACGCAGCTGTGCGCATCCACCTGGGCAGGCAGCTCAGCACTCAGCACCGCAGGTAAGTGCCATTGGCCTGTCAGAACACAGGTGCGGTATTAGGGCCTCGAGCTCCACCTTGACTTTCAGTTGCTGTATAGTGGGCCATGTTCCAAAATGGCAAATGACCATGTCTGGCAAGGTGTGTATTCTGCGAATGTTTCTGGAACTTAGAGTGGTTTGGGTGGTGGAAGAGAACAGAATGTGGTTACTTCCTTGCTTTTACCCTACTCAGCTGGACTGGCTTTGACAGCTTTTCACACTGTCTGTATGGAAAAGTGTGTGTTTTATAAATACCTCAACTCAACTTCGTGTCCAACCCAAAAGAGCTCACCACTATGTAACACTTAGCACAATTTATTTGAATGCCTGCTTCCTTTTGCAGCTAGGAACTTTTACCCTAGTCTGTGCGTTTCTGAATTGTACTCAAAGATATTTTGTTGAGAAGCAAATAGTATTTCTATTGAAGTGAGAGTCTTCATTATTATTTGGGAATTATTTCATCAGATAATCTATTTTGGATCAACTGCAAACATATATATCCTCTTTCTCCCTCTTTACCCAAGAGATCATTACAAATGAGTATCTCCTCTTTGATCTGGGATCCGTTTGATTAATAAGCTTGATTTGCCCCATTTGCATGCTAGAGACACATGGAAGTTATCCCAGCAGCTTGAAGAGAAGATAAGCCTTTCTCCTCGCATTCTATTATCCCCTTCAGCCTTGAGACCCCCTCCCTGCAGAGGCTGCCTCGTCTCTGCTGGCTCCTGGCTCTTCACAGGTGAAAGCTGGGGCAGCCAGGTAGGGGCACCCTCGTGGCAGCTGTGAATGATGTACATTTTACACTGGGGGGAGGCTCTTTCTGTGGCATCCTCTTCTTCCTCACTGGCCCAGCGTCTGTGGAAGGAAGGAAGGGCTTGGTGTTTCTGCAGAGGTTTTCACAGTTTGGTCCTCTGGAGGCTTCTTTGCAGCCCAGACACTTTTCTAGGTTGCAATGTCCTATCTCCTGATTATCTGGGCACAGTCACCTTCTACCAGATTCAGACAGCTGAAGAGGGTCAGACACCGGTACTGTCCTGGCCATGGGGATGGGACAGATGCCAGGGAACTAGTCCTATTTAATCTACAGCCCAAAGAGGCTCCACCTGGCAGATAAACAGGACTTTCATGGGGCAAGTGAGCAAATGGTAGGTCACAGGCAGAACAGGGATGGGGCCCAAGAGGAAAGAGCAGAGTGACTTGGGGTAGGGAGGTGGGCAGCAGGTAGCCTCCCCACCTTCCATCCCGGGGTTGGTAGCCCCAGCTGCAGGCAAGGTCTGCAAGCTGTCTTGGGGGCCCTTGGTTGAGGTATGACCAATGGGCACCCATGAGCAGAGACCTGGGGAGAAGTTCGGGCAGTACCAGGCTGAGGGGGGGAAAGGCCCTCCCCCTTCCAGCACTCTTTGAGTTGACAGGACAGGCTGGTGAGATTGCCCTTCCTAGAGCAGGGAATGTTCCTGGTGCTGTTCTAGGTAGGCTCTAAGTAAGAGGAGAGTTCTGGGACTGGAAGGGCATAGGACAGAGAAGAGGAAGGGACCTTGGATTGTCAAGTATCCTCTGTCCCAGGCACTTTGCATAAGAGATGCCATTTACTCCTTGCCACAGTCCCATGAGTGAGGATTATCACCGCCTCTTTTAGGGAAACTGAGGCTCAGAGGTTGGCACTTGCTCCGAGGGCTCCCAAGTAAGCAGAGCTGGGAGCACTGCGTTATAAGCCACTGTGCCTTGGGCAGCCCTGGAGGAACCTGAGCCCCAGCCCCTGCTGAAAACCAGCTGGACTAGAAGAAGCTGAGCAATTTGGGAATTTCAGTTGAAGAAAAGGTTTAATACTTAACAATAATAAAGGTCCTTTCTGCTCATTTTGTCCTCTCTCTGGGTATACTAAGAACATCCTTTAAAAATTTATAGTAGTGGGGAAATTAGGGACAACTATGGGCAATCAGAGCCAGGACTAAGAAGTTAGTTTGGCCCCCGGATGCCTTGCAGTGCAGAACAGCCTGGGGCCGTGCAGGCGGTGTGGGCAGAGGTGCCCACTGAGGGACTGTGGGCGGAGGCGCCTGCTGAGGGGTGTGAAGGCTGTGGGCCAGGCACAGACCCTGCTGTATTCTGCTGCTGCTTCTGTTTCTTGCTCTGTTTTGTCCCCTTTGTATTAGTCTGTTTTCTGTTGCTTATAATAGAATACCTGAAACTGGGTAATTTATAAAGAAAAGAAATTTATTTCTTATAGTTATGGAGGCTGAGAAGCCCCAGGTCAAGGGGCTGCATCTGGTGAGGACTTCTTGCTGGTGGGGCCTCTCTGCAGGGTCCCGAGGCAGCGCAGGACGTCACATGGTGGGGGGCTGAGCATGCTCACGTGCTAGCTCAGCTCTCTCTTCCTCTTCTCATAAAGCCACCCGTTCCCTCCCACGATAACCCCATTAACCCATTAGTCCATTAATCTATGAGTGGATTAATGCATTTATGAGGCCAGAGCCCTGTTGATCCAATCACCACTTAAAGGCCCCACCTCTCAGCACTGCCACATTGGAGATTAAGTTTCTACGTGAGTTTTGAAGGCAACATTCCAGCCATAGCACCCTATTTTCATAGGGGAGCTTGGGGGGTTCTTTTGGAAATGTAGCCTTGTCCCATGGCCTTTCCGATCGGGCAACCCTGGGCTCTGATCTTAGTCCTGTCATGTGTCAGCTTCGTGAGCTTTGGCAATTCACTTACCCTCTCTGAGATTGAGTTTCCTCATTTATGGAGTGGGATAATAATGCCTGCCGTGTGAGTTACTGCGGGGCTCACGTGAGATGACATCGGTTAGGTGCCCAGTGCTGTCCCTGCCTCCCTGCCTCATCATTTCCCCCAAATATCCTACCTGCCCTCTCACCCCTCCAGCCTCCTGCTCGGACTCTTCTTCTACACAGGAAGCTCGGCCGGTGGTGGGTCGAGGCATGCTCAGGAAACGCTGGGCCTCTGACCTCCGTGCAGGGTGCGAGATGACATTCCACTGATGTCATTGCCCTGCTTCATTGCCTCCCGGTGTCCCAGACACTTTTCAGCCTGAGGGAAAATGTGGGGGCAGGGTGAGAGAACAGAACCCGAGGTTCTAACTGCATTCTTGTCTGAAAGCAAGGGCCTTTGACAGCACACTTTCAGTTACCTTCCTGGTGAAGTCAGACAGACCTGGATTTCAGTTTTGGTTTTGCCATGTGCTGGGGATCACTTGGACAGACTATGATACATCTCCAAGCCTCCATTTCCCCATCATAAGATGGCATGGACATCTCCCACAGCAACCTCTCAGTGTTGCTCTGAGGATCAGAATCAAAATGAAATGACATTTGTAAATGTGTCTGGCAAACCATAAATCCCTACTGGCTTCAGAGCAAAGATTTATTATGATCACTTATGTTTTAAAAGCTATCAGGTCCTTTATACAGATATTTTTATTATTCCTGGAAGATCATCTCAGTTCTAGGAGCCACATATCAGAGGCCTGATGAGATAAACTTGCAGTGGGGCTCTCTGTGCATTTGGGCTACTCACCCCCATCACCGTGCCTTAGGGACTGGGCAGCAGGAGGGCCCCTTCCTGGCATCTGTACAAGGCTGGGCCACTTTCAGAGGGGGCCCAGGGAGCTACCCAGGTAGTCACTATCCCCAGCAGCCTGGGGGAGGGCAAGTGGGAGGGATGAGGGCCTGGAAATTGCAGCGGGCTGGTGGGTGCGGCACATCATTAATAAGGGTTACGTTTTTCTGCTACCAGTGAATCGGATTTGGCCCAAGAGTTGCTGTCTCTTACTCTCTCTTGCTCTTGGAGAGTTCTAGAAGGTTGTTTTGGGGTCTCATGTACATGGCAGAGAAAGATGGTTAACAGTTGGGGTGCCAACTCTTTTCTTCATAACTAAAGAAAGGTCAGAGTGCCTTTAGGGTTGTGGTTTGAGATGCTGTGCATTGGAAATCTGAGGACAGTTTCAAGATGTAGCTTGACTTCTTTGTCATCAGACAAGAGAAGATGTGCTAGTTTGTAGGACCCGGTGATACCCACAAGGTTGTTGGGCGGCTCAGAGGGTATCAGGAGTGGGTGGGGAGTGCCCACCACGTGTGAGAGGCTCTGTAAATAATTATGGAATGACCAGACCTTATAAACTGTGATTGATAGTGTGACCTATTTTTGTTATATTATTAAGATTTGTGCAGAAAACCCATCTGGATCTAAAGTAAGTTGGGTTCCCCAAAAAGGCTAATAAAAATGAAGTAAAACGTGTCTTAATGCATCGCGTCCGTTGAAAGAAATCAGTTCCCCGGGAAGCAGTAGTCCACCTTCTGCTCTGCTGCAGGATGAGCCTGTGGAGGGTCTGTCACGACAGAGACCCCCGGGGACCTGGGGAAGGGAGGCAGCGGCTCCTTCTGCAGCATTGGCATTGATTTCCTCACAGGGGTTTTCTCTTTCTGTTTGGCAGTTGACACTGTTTGGGGCAGTTGTCATTGGGCACATTTCATGGCAATGCCAGTATGTTGGCAAATAATACAAGTATTGATACTTTTATCCTAGAGAAAATGCATAGCTTTTTAAACACAATTCTAAGAACCGAAAGGCTTAGAGGCCTTGCTGGACCCAGCAAGTAAAGCCAGGCCTGTGCTTTAGTCCCCAGCAGCCACCTGCGTGGCCCAGTGCCAGTCTTCATGGATGATGGAGACTCCAGAAACACTGCAAAATAGTTTCCTGTTCAGGGTGTCATAATTTATTTAACTATTATCATCTGTCTGT